TCCCTACAACTAAGTATGTGCTTTTGGGGCCACGAACTCCTTGAGCTTCCCAACTCATATAATTTTTTTAGCCAAGCTATGGAGGTATCTATACTCATGTGTATTATAGCCGTGATCGTTATGGTATTGTAGTCGTGGGCTTCTGTTCTCATAGGTTGAGCCATCCAAAAATACTTCTTATCTTAGAGAGCCTCCACTAATTCTATCATCAAAACCTTTAGTTCAGTGAATCTCAATGCTCCCAGGTCACTGGTTGAATGATTGTTCAACCAGCTTCGCTTTTATGAATTTTGGACGTAATCTTTATTCTTACCAGCCTACTGAACTCTTTCACATCTGGGATGAGGGTCATCTTTCTCCATCCACCCATCATCTCGTGAACCTTTTCTATCCAATTGACGATCAGAATTCTCACCTTTTAAGAATGGCAGGTTCATGTACTCCTCAATCATGATGGGTCTGTTGGCTAACTCTAATAGTTTGGCCAAAGCTTTGGATTTTTGCAAACCTAGGAAATATTTGAAAGGTGCACTCTTAAGCCCTTCTGCTAGAGAAAATTTAGTGAATGTTGGATCTAGGTTCCTCATCTTGAGCATTTTCTTCTAGAACCTTGTAACATACACCGTTGGCTCTCGTTTAGTCCACGCTTTACAATATCACAAGGATTCTGAATCCTTGTGAGGTTTCTGGGTGCTACCAAACTGCTTTGTAAATAGCTTCTTGAACTCTCCAAAGGAACATATAATCCCAACAGAAAGTCCATTAAACCATCTGAGAGTTGCATCTCTCAAGGTGGTGTAGAACACTCAAAATTTTAATGTGTTAGAAAACTTGAGAAGGCAGATGACCAACTCAAAGGATGTAATATGGTTGGTTAGATCGCTCCAGCCTCTACATGGTTCCAGTGAGGAAACCTTGAACTTTACTGGGGGTTTAGCTTCAACGATGTGCTAGAAGAATACATTCTCCAGTTGGTGATAACTTTTAATTTGTCCATCTTGTGGATATATTCATGTCTCTTCTTAGCACGGACCTAGCACTAGTTTGGTTCTAGGATTCTTCCATCTGCTCATCATCTTTTACTACCAAATGGCCTTGAAGATTGGGTGCTGAAGGATTAGGCCATGGGAGAGGTCGCGCTTTTGCTCGAGTCAGTTTTGTAATCTGACTCACCATCTAATCAGATCATGGAGTTTTTGAATTTGTGTTTGCACGAGGTCTCTGACGAACTCCATGTTAGAAGTTTCTCCTCTGTGTGTTCCCTCTCTGTTACACTCTCCTCTTTATATTGAGGGCATGACTCCAAAAAAAATATTGAATCTAGATCTGTTCTGTGGACCGTGCCCAAGGTATAGAGCAGAAAATCTACGGAAAATAAAAAGAGATGGAGAAAAAAAAGAGTTTTTTCTTATCAGGAAACAAAAAGGGGTTTTTCTGGGATATTTGGACCATCTTATTTCACTTAAATTTAGGGCTACAAGTGGGAAGAAGGGAAGAGTTACATGTACATTGGGTTATGAGAGAGAGAGAGAGAGAGAGAGACCGAGAGCATAGTTATCCTGGTACACATGACAAGGATCTTCTATTTGTAGAAGTAAAATTAAGGTAAAAGAAATATTACAAATATGCCCTTGCTTTATGGAGGGCGGTACAGGGCATTTCAATCGTTTCCTTGTTTGAAACAACTGATATTGAGCATTTCCGTTGTTGGTACTCATCGACATTAGGTGGTCGGTCGGAAGAGTGGTCGTCCAAATGGAAGTTAGTGGTTGGTCCAATGTGGTCGGTCAGCTAGAGGCAGTTGCCTCAATTTGACCAACCGATTGGAGGTGGGTGGGAGATTAAAGGTGGTTGACTAACTGTAGGGGGCCGGCCGATCGGCTTCAGGTGGCTAGCCCGCTGGAGAACAAATTGTAGATGCAATTATGAAGGAGTTTTCTTTGACCTAGCGAGGATAGTGACATTTTCCTGTTACACATAAGCCCTTTGAGCCTTTTATTTCTTGATGACAAAGCTGCAATAGGAATAAAATACTCAAGAAAATAGAAAATATAACTTCAACAAATCACTAGTTATCTCTCTTAATTTTTTGAAGTTTTTTGATAGATTTATGTGTGATTGGTAACCCATTCCTTGAGAAGGTTGTCGGTAGGTTCTCAAATTTTGGATGCCCAACTCAAGTCCTACTCCTGTATCCTTTTGTTTATTGGAACATCACCTCACTTCTTCGTTAGATCTTGTAGCTACCTTCGTAGGGTAATCGCTGAGAGTGGCTAATGGGGTCATTTACATTGTACCTTTCATGGAGCTTGTCGCTTCTGGGTAGGGAACCACCTCCAAAACTTTTTCTAGCTCGAGCATGGAAGGGTTTTTGGATGGTTAGAGTGAGGGGAACTTTTTCTTTCTTCTTCTTTTTAAAAAAGCCAAGGAAAAAAGCTCTCTCTCTCTCTCTCTCTCTCTCTCTCTCTCTCTCTCTCTCTCTCTCTCTCTCTCTCTCTCTCTCTCTCTCTCTCTCTCTCTCTCTCTCTCTCTCTCTCTCTCTGTATGTATATGTATGTATGTATGTATGTATGTATGTATGTATC